AATACTATTTTAAACTCAAAAAGAGTATAAACGGTAGTCAAATGGTTGCAAGGATCGTTTCAACTATCAAGTGAAACAAAGGAACAAACCATGGGAGGAGTCTTTAACATAAGAACTCCTCCTAAATATGGATCAACCCTACAGAATACCAATCAAGCTGGACAAAAAAATAAAAAATAAAAAATAAACCCATAAAAGAAACTGAACTATTCCATAAAGGAGACTAAACTCCACAAAGTGATATTAGAAACAAAACAAACAACAAGCGAAAATAATAAAACAACAAATTAGCTAAATAAACCAAAACAGCTATAGACTAAACTAGAGCTCTCACGAACAACCCTCTCGATTCCTTACATCAAGAAGCACCAACAACCCAACCCGGGACGATCACACGAAGAGCAAAGCCAAGACGAGATTCAAAACTGGGCACTCCGATCTCCAGAAAGTTACGGCTATTCAAATCCAAAGCCAACAAGCTAAATCCACTCTTCAACCTCAACAACCAAACAGCTGACGACGATCGGACGAGAAGACCGCCAACACCACTTCCTCAACTGCAAGACCCAACCACCGACCACCTGGAGAAAGAAGAGCTCAACTCCCCTGCAGTCGGACTCAAAAGGGGTTGTCGAAAATTGCAGGCACAAAATGGCCGACAACATCAACACCAACATCATCACCTCCTCGGCCGGAGCATGTCCCTGAGACGGCGGCAACCTGCCACTCATCGCAGGCGACGACCACATCTGCGACACGAGGCGCAGCAGCGGCCAAAACTCGCAGTAAAGGAGGCGGGAGGCATCACGCCGTTGCCGACGCCCCTTGGGGCGGAGTAGGACCTCCCTCACCGTTGTCGACGCCCCTTGGGGCAGAGCAGGTTTGGGAAGCAGGGAGTCAGTGGTTGAAAAAATGGGTCTGGTTTTCCTTGTGCATGAGAGATGAAGAGGAAAAAAATATAGGGCGAATTTTAAATCCTTACATTTTAACTTATTAGGATTTTAGTAAATATTGTAGGATACAAACTTATAGATTTGGATATTGCTATTACATACTTTCCTACTTTTCTAAATGGATAATGTCATAAACCATGAAGATTTGAATTTGTTGTGAAAGCATATGCAACAAAATGAGCCTACTAAACAAATGGGGGATAATTAGGAATCAAAGTGACATGCGTCATATTTACGTGCATTTTGTAGTGATTTTCGTGTCCGTTTCGTCGTAGTTTGATATATAACTAATTATAATATAATTAATTATTGTTTAATTAATAATTTATTTAATTAATATTAATAAGCTATAACAAAAGCGTTTTATTTTTGTTTTAATAGGATATAAGGTCGAGTTAATTATTGGAGTCGAAAATGGAGGGCAAGCCATGCATTGGGAACAGGCCCAATTACTCAGCCCGCAAGAGTAACATGATGTCCCACTTTATTAGTTCTGTTGGGCCCAAAGCACAGCCCAACAATGTCCATAATTTCAACCCAAGCCTAACATTTAAGTGGAGGGCAATATAGTAATTTCTTGAATTTTGGCTTCTCCTTCCTCACGTACACAGCACATCCGTCTGCCATGGATGAGTGCGGAGCTTCGCCGTTCATCCTCACACCACATCCCCGCCGCACCAAATCAACGCCGGAGCCATGCTGACCGCCGCCGCCATCATTTACGCCGGAGAAGCCGTCTGAAGATCGAGTTATCACCGGAGAAGAAGCTCGCGTGGCCGGCCACCATGACGTCTTCCGACCGCCTGGACGCCATGTAAGACCACCGGGAGATGCCTGAGAACCCGTAGAACACACCAGGATCTGAGAACAGCCGCGAAAATGGAGTTTCAGCCACGTTTACGACACAAGGGTCGTGTGAGCCCGAGACACGAGTCGTGTCGTTCCGACGGGTCGTATATCGAACTCTCGACTTTGTCACACGACTTGTGAGGCTTATGACAGTGTGGACCTGAACGCATCAGAATCGGATTTTGCGCGTTTTTTTATTTTTTCGACTTTTTCGACCTATAGGACTCGACCCCAACTATTTAAGAGACACTAGGCCACATTTTTGGGGAGTCTTAGACATATTTTTCACATCTTTGGAGATCTTTGGAGGCTAGAAATACGAGCAAGACGAGGGTGAAATCCGGGAAAGAAGAGACGACGGAGCCGAATAAGTTTTTATTTTATTTTTCTTTTCCTCTTTCGAACTCAATGTTTTATATCTATTTTTCTTAATTTGAAAGCATGTTTGTAGACTAATTTTATTTTAGATTCTAGGATTTGTTAGTACTCAGATTAATTTATGATTTAGTTTTTATTTCTTTCATTCCGGTTTATCTTTCGTTTATAAATTTCGTGTGCTTATTATTATTGTGTGAGTAGATGACCACTATGAATGCATATTTGTGATCGATTTGAGACCGAGAGGAGATAATTGATTGCTAGAATTAGGAGATTTATAACGTAAGAGAATAAACAGATCGAGATGTTGATAGGACCTTACGAGAGAACGAAAATCCTAGGAACTTATGGGAGTTAGTTGTTCATCTTGAGACCGAGAGGAGTAAGATAACAATTAATATCTACGATTTAACTTGTTCGAGAAAAAGATTTGAAATCAATTTAGCGATTATCTCTACGATTGATAAAATTAAATAAGGTTTGTTTGAATATAAACGTTTTATGAATTAATTCTGAGGAACGCTTAGCCTAGAATCTATCTTTTGTATCTTATTTTATTTTTATCTTTTTTAGATAAATTAATTTTTTGTTTAATTCTTAGTTTATAATCATCATTCAATTCACTAGTCTAGATAATATTTAATCGTTATTATTTTAGTACCTAATTAATTTAACTACAATCTCTGTGGAGTACGACCTTGCTCGCCATTACCTATAGCTACTCCGTACACTTGCGGATAGCAAAAATAATTAGCGAACACACAGCGGAGGCGGGAGTTTGATTAGAGATCACAGTGGAGCGCTCATTACCGCCTTCTACACCCTTCTCCAGGCTTCCTCGAGTTACGATGCAGAGGTTTAGGCGTTCTAGACCGGTCTTCAGATTGCAGATTTTATCTCTTCTCACATTTGGATAGAGTTGGACGCTGCCGCTGTCGCCACCCTCTTGACCTCAGGCCACCAGCGCTCGTGGCAGATTCAGCACCCGCTCATGTGCATCAGGTCCTCACTTCAGTCGGTTCACTACCGGATCTCGCACATCTTCCACGAAGAGAATTAACCTGCTGACTACCTTGCCAGCTTAGGTGCCTCCACCTCACTGAGGCGCACCTTCATCCTGGATTACACCCCTCTTCGCCTTCGTTCTCTTGTGGAGATGGATCAGATGAGCCACCCTTCGTTTAGATTCTAGTAGCCATCATTTGTTTTTTGGGCTTTCGACCCCTTTTGTGGGACAGACTGCTTCACTGAGCACATGTCAACCTAGGTTCAGACTTTTCCTTTTGGCTGTTTTTTTTTTCTTTCTTTTTCCCATTTTTGACTTTCAGTTTTTGGTTGGACTTGTATAGATCAATAATTTTTCAGCCCATTTGGGGTATTGATTATATATAGGTTAGGAATCTAACTTTAATGACATGATTGGTATGAAGAAATGACATGGGAATAGAATATTCATTTCTTATCCCATGATTGATATATTTTTTGGAAATGAATGACCATTCCAATGGGAATGACAAAACTCATCTCCATGGGATTAGCTATTTCATAGTTAATGGAAGGTTTCTCATTCCCATGTGTGTAGGAATCAATTTTTCAAAAAATAAAATTAACAAATAATAATAAAAAATAAATATATAATATATATTATAAATCATGATTAAAATATATTAAATAAAATTATTTTAAAAAATAAAATTCAAATAAAAATTTGAAAACTAACTTTTATTTATTGTTTAATTAGATATATTAAATACTTATATAAAAATAAAACAAAATAAAATATTTATATATAATTTAAAAATATATTATTTTATTTTTATACATCATATTTATTATATATTTATTCATAAATATTAATATAAATATTAATTTTTTTTATATAAAATAGTGATAAATGATAATAAAAAATAATAATGTCATTTCATTCTTCAATTCATTCTATTCCTACGAAATTTCATTTCATTATACCAATCATGCCATAAAATGTTCATAATTTTCTCAATTTTTTTCGGCGCTTAAGAGGAACACGTAGTATATTAGGTTTTGGTGGGATATAAATGTGAGATAATTCTCTTAGCATAATACTAATAATGGACTAGATCAAAATGACTCAATTAAATTCTAGTGCTTCTTCTATTAGTGAAGTTTCGAAAAAAAAAAAAAAAATATCAAACGGCGCAATGCACCTAGAGTCGCTACGGAAACAGCCTCCTTGTATAATTACAAGGGTAAGGTCTGCGTGCAACTGACCCCCAGACCCCAACCTGTTGAGAATATATTGGGTATGTTGTGAGATAATCAGCCATAACCCAAAAAGCATTAGCATCGAATAAATTCTGCATTAACACTATTCAAAGAAGAAAGAAGAATAAAATATCACAAGCGTATCTTAAGCCTCGAATTTGAACTTATCACAGCTTTTTTCCAAAAAAGAATGCCCTCTTTTACACAATCTAAATAACATAGGGCAAATTGCAGTGCAACAACAATCTTTGTTTTTCAAGTAAAAATACAGATCTCATCGTAACCTTATCATCAGAGGATTCTGTCCTGAAGATCATTTAATAAAGAGGACGCGATGGAGCCAAGTTTCTTCCCGGTTTCTCCTGCAATATTCTTAAGCGAGGAGATATCTTGCTGTGCCTGATAACATCACACAGGAACAAATTTTCTCAAGAACAAAAGAACTCACAAGTTCAACTAAGTGAAATACGATTTAAGGGTTAGAAGCTGACAAATATCCCAAGTGATGCAATCAAATATTGCTGAGAAAGAGAATGAAGTTGCTGCATTACCTGGAAAGACAGCTTAGTAATGAGTTCACTTGCTGTAAGGTCAATATTAGTAGACCTTGAATCATGACCGAAGAGATCAGCACTAGAGATCGAAGATGACCCCTACAATAAAAAAGAAAAAATGAACCATATTTTGCATATGTAGCCCAATTAGTATATATATAGATAGAATGATAAGACTGATTGGGAGAGAGATCTACCTATGACAAATTGGAGTTTCACGTGCGTCAGCACATGAAAGAACCCATTCGGAAACAAATGATATGTGATCAATTTCGCAAATAATCTCACACCCATTACTCAAATGTAGTCTAGGTACTAGGTAGTATAAAAGCAAAGCAAAAAAGAGAATATATGACATACAGAGAATTTCTGCAAAGATGCTGATGCATCCAAATCACCGGACTTGTTTTGAACACCGTAAAACTGGGCTGACGATATTGATTTTGCATTGGAGAACTTTTTTCTTGCTTCATCCGTCTCCTCAACCTGGCAATAAGAGCCGCACAGCAGATTACACTTGAAACATCTATCGATGCATATATAACCTTAGTTCATGACTATGCGTAAAAAATAAAATTCAGGACATGTCACCTCCAGAACATCAAAAAAAGAGAAGGAAAAAAAAAAGGAACCAAAAAACATGCAAAAGACAACATGAAGTTTCAAGTTAGGAGAAACTGTCCAGGTAACACTAGGAACATGGAGAATACTTTACGCTAAATATTTTATTGACATATCAAAATGTTATTGTTATCGGATAGCATCAAGATGGTATTCTATAGTCGTAGTTGTTTAAGCTCAAGGCACAAGGTATGGCATGCGCTTTGGATATGAGGTCCAAGAAAAAAATAAAAAAATGAATATTATTATTATTTATTAGGCTGCAAAAAGAATTGTTAAAACCCTGAAAATAGAAAAGTGGAGACCAGATAAAATACACACACACACATATATAATATACATATATATATATATGCATTTATGTAAGAGATTATAACCACACAAAACCATATAATTAAATGCCAAAGAACAGAAGAATTTAGATAATAAACCCTAGTTCTCAGACACGTCTGAGTGAGAATTTAGACAATGAAACTTGCTCACCTAGCATCCAGAGAGTATCCATAAAATTCTCACCTATGTTCTGTGAAGAAAAAAAATTACTTACTTGAACTTTTGTCGAGATTGAGCTGCTCTTCTTTGGGAAGCCACTGTCCATGCCATACTCTGCAAAGAAATTGGATGACTTTGGAGGTACGACATGGCTGGCACGTGAACCCCCAGAACTCATCTCAGTAGGTTGGTCATTGTCTGTGTACTCAAATCTAGATGTAAACGATGAACCAACTGCAGCCGTGCTACTCAATGAAGAGTTTGCAGGAGAAACTTGTAAGGGAAGGTCCTCCGGCTTCTGGTCATAAAGGCTTTCACTAGGCTGCAATGACGTTGAAAATTTATACATAGAAAATGCTCATCAACAGCATAGACTCTACAGAATACATACTTCTTTTTTGCAGATATAATATGAGAATTCACTTGTAAATTAAAAATAAAAAATAAAAAAAATAAAAATAAGAATAAAAAATAAAAAGATGTGATTCACCTTGTTAGTGAGCTTCCTAGCACCTAGGCCTCCGGTCTTCCCAGTTTTCTTTGCACCAAGAGATTTCTTCACAGTAATTGCTGCAACTTTCGGAGAGGCTCTTGGAGAAGAAGAAACCTCAGATGTCACAGTTTTGAGAGCAGAAATTTCCTTTGGGAAGTTGTTTAGAGGACTTCCCTTTGGATCTTCAGTGAAGTTGATATCAGAAAATCCATTAGACTTTGATGACTGGGAAGCAACGGGAGACAAAGGTAAACTAGCATCCTCTACATTGCTTTTAGCAACTTCTTTCGAGAGTAATTGTCGGTATAACTCAGCAGCTCTTGAGGTATATTTGGCCTCAATCTTGCCTCCGTCGGTCCATCCATGCTGTTTGAAGAAAACCTGAGCTCGGTTATTTCCACCAAAGCACATCATTTTCAACTGCTCCGGAGTCCATGAATCCATATTTGTTGACCTACAGTTTAAGAACTTGGTCAGCCGAATAAAAAAATAACAGCCAAATCAACCAATATTGATTCTGTTTTTTCAGAATAGCCAACCCAATCTAATGCCAGGCTACAAAACCTATCCTTAGACCTTATCTATGGATACATCACATTAAAGATAATTCATTACACTTATACATTGCGTAATTAAGGAATATACATCGACATTTAAATACATTATATATTAACTAAAATTATATTACCCTCGGACTTACTGCACACAATGCCGGGTGCACCTTGGTCCACCATATAATTGACCCTACAAGAATTTACTGGTATGAGAAACTTGTTTCTGCATTGCCATACACATGGTATCTCATAATTCTTTTGCCATAGTATCCTTCTTTTAGAGCATGTCTCCTTCTTAGCTGCCAACACTCAAGCTATACTATTTTCCTTGCAATGCATATTTGTGTGTTCCTTTTCCTTGAACTTTCACCGTCTATCCTATTCTTTCTCAATTAATTGTTTAAAGAATTCACTATTATTATATATATGCATATATATAAATAATTCAAAGTTATTAGTCTGTACTAGACAGCCCAAACAAGCTTCAGTTATGGTTACTATTCACCGTCCCATCTCTGAACCCACTCAGAGTCCAAAATCTTTTTATTTCAATTTTCTTTGTAGGCTTCTGCAGCATCATTCCACAAGTGGCAACGCGGAAATTTTTTCCCTTGGAAGTTTTGTCACAATCTGCAGTAGAAGTTTACCTCCAAGAAGTCGCGATATCTTAGCATGATGTCAGACAAAAACTCTAGGGTTTACCTAACATAGACAACTGAATTTTACTTCGACCCATTTTAACCTGTTACATAACTTTCGAATTACTTTTCTATTATTCGAACATCCTGCTCAGAAGGCCTCAACTTCAGTCCAAACTTTAAACACCAGTTGAACTTGTCTTATCTAGCTTTTCCGAAACAGCAATATTTATTCTTTTTCACTTTCTCGATCAAATTCAACCATCAATACAGCAGCCACAGCTTTCTCTTTATCCCTCATTTTCAGTCACCAATTTTTCTAAGAACAGCCACAATTTCGAAGATTATTTAATTACAGTGTCCACATGGTATTGTGAAAAATAAATGTTAAAACCCGTGATGCAACCATCTTACTCACTGCGAAATGAATGACAAACACATATATATTTATATATATAAAAGCAAGACCGAAGGATGCTTCAAAAGGCAGCTTTCAGCAAGTCAATTACAACACACAGATCAGTAGCATGATTGCATTCTCGATACCCATCTTGTAAACATTTCAAAGTTGTTTGGTGCAAAGACTCCTGACAGCATTTAGTCCCAGAAATGATACCTCTTGGATCCTAAAGTTTTTACTACACAACATAACATACGAATTTGGGTACATTTAGATTGATAAGGGCTAAATTCTTTTCACCTCCTAATGCATCTTTCCTTTTTATCCTACTTGAAACTCTGAATATGCCTTTGTATTGTTCAATTCATAATATAAAACTAATTTTCATTTTCATACTTCATGTTCAATTCCTACATGTTCAGTCCTTCATACACCTACCACACATTAGTTTAAATTTACTAAAAGTTCCAGCCTTTTCATGAGAAAAACAACGATCACCAGGAAAAGAATGCATATATTATTCATCTTCAAGCTAATATATTCACAGTTTCCAATGATTGAATTTTTTTCACGCAAAAGCATTTTCAGCCCCGTTAAATACAGAAAAAAGCATAAACAGAACATAATGCATCACCAACTCGCCATCAATTTAAAGCATAACACTAAAAACTTGTTCATAAACATTAATTTTAGAAAGAACATGAATTCATAATGAGGTCACTGCTCACTTTTTTTCACAATAAAACAGCAAAAAAAAATGAAAAATATCCATCAATGGGAACAAAGACACCAACATTTTCAATATCAATATACATGAATTATTGTACTTAGAAGATGATGCTGGGCAGATGCTACATTAATGTCATAAACAATTACAAGTTACTTTAAACCTAATCTGGTTATCAATTAAATAATTTCTCCAACATCTGATAGATCAATAATCTATTTTTACACAATGCTCATCTTAAAATCATATTACCAAAATATCTGGCTTTCCGCTTAATGCTTGCTCTCAAGATGACAAGTTGCACAGATCTTAGTAGTTGCTACTAAATATATTCCCAATCCCCCAGAATCACTGACACAGCTGGTAATACTGAATGAAGAAATACGCGAGCAAATAATACAATTATACAGAATTTACCAACAACACACAAGAATTATTAAGCTCAAAAGGTAGAAAGCTACAAACTTTTCTAACAGGCAACATCAGATGAATCTCATGTCCCACCATACTAGACAAGCTACTCATTAATAAAGTAGTATTTTATGGGACTGCATAGTTACATTACTATTAAGGACAACTTCTATACAAGATAGCAAGACACCCATCTAGAACAAACATTATTCCAAAATCTTTAGGTGGAACAGATACCCATTCAATCACAAACAATTGCTCCTGATGAAGTTTCGCATAATTGTTCAAATAATTTGGCCTGCAATTTTAATTTCAAATGCTCACTCATTTAAATAATTTTATATATATAGAGAGCCTATGCTGCTTTGCTGTATTCAGATACTACAGCCAGATTTGAAAATTCACAACTCCCAACAACACAGTCATCAGTACAACAAAATTACAATATGCTAAACGCAAGAATCACAATCCCATGATCAAACAGATACCCAGCAGCTAATCCAACAAAAATCCCACAAAGATCAAATCGTAAATAATTATTACCTAACAAAGCTGATGTGCACCCCAAGACTTCGGTGAACCCCCGAACAATCGATGCACAGGAAGATCCCATACGTCACAGACGCCCAGGTCGGATTTTTTCCATTGCAATCGAAACACATCTGAATCCAAAACATCAATTTCACAACAAGAAATTCAACCCAGAAAAAAATTTACACAGATCTGAATCGGATCTCAACAATGCCCGCAAATATCGACTATTCCGTGCATAAAAAAGCAAAACAAGAAACTTGAATCACCTTATTCTCGGGCTTCGATCTGAGCTTGCGGAAAACAGCGTTTCTGTCGGTGTAACCGTCGGACGCCATGGTTGTATACTACCAAAAAAAACTCTAAATGCAACTGTGTGTATTAACAAGGGCGTGTGCTTGGATAACCGGAATTAACGATTGATTCTTCTTTCTATTCGACAGAGAAAGGCCTTCTTTCACACTCTCCGTCTTGAGAGGGATAAAGAAACGCAGTGAAGAGCGAGATTTGAAAGAGAGAGGGCCCTGAACATCTGCAGCGAGGAGTGCGACATTAATTTTGGATGACAAAAAAGGCCTCATGCGGCAGGGGTATTACCGTCAGTTCAGGTGACGACAAAGCGTTGGCTTGCCATTAACAACACCTATGCTTGCATTTGAAGCGGGTAAAGCTAAAGCCATATTAGGTGTTGTGTGATGAATTTTGGCATTCGGAAGCTGATGATGAGACGTCTTTGACACGCAAATTGCCTTAAAACTAGGATTTAGACCGGCACCATCACAAACTGCCTTCGCCTTAAGCTTCGATAACAGTACCTGCAAAGCACACTGGGAGGGGTCTAGATGAAAAACCACCTCAAGTTAGATCTCGCTCTTAGATCTATGTAAATTGTAGCTTAAATCCTAATCATGCATTAATCCCAAATAAAACGTAGCAACCTCCTTTTATATAGAAAATAGAATTTACATACATACCTTAAGATTTTATCATGAACCTACAACAACCCAGAGCTCTGATGACATGCAATATGTCGGGAGCGGTCCTGACGAAAAAGCTTCAGAGCTGAAGTCGGTGTTTATCTGTGATAAAATTGAGTGTATGTATGTATATTCTTGTATGCGTATGTGTATCGTGTAAAGTAAATAACTTAAATACCCTTATATACCTAGGGTAACTTGATGGCCAAGAGAGTCCTAATTAGGAAAGAGATTATCTCATATCCACTTTCCTAACTGGCAAGATCTCCTGAAACTAAGAGTTCTCAACAATATATATATTCCATTCATGAAGGATTATCTCCACTTCCATTGCACGGCTCCTAGGTCTAGAGGTCGTAAGCCCGAACCCCCTACCTACTTGCTGCAAGTCCTATCTAGGTAGTAACCACAACCCTAACCCTGACGACCTACAGGCCATGAGGTCTCTTCGAGCTTCTTAGGTCTCTCAACCTCCGAGCTCAATAGGTCTCTGACATCCGAGCTTCTTAGGCCTTCTGGTCTCCAAGCTACCTGAACTATGCTAGCTTGGTCTCCTGAATCGTTCACTGAGCTATTTTAGGTGATCATCTAACTCCATCTATTCTTGAACGAGCTACCCATACTTGATCAAGAATGTTCTCTACGCGTCCACCCGACGCGCCAGTCTTCAGTGCTGCAACAGGCGTAACCTAGATACCCGCGCCTGCCAGAAATGTCTTTTCGAATACCCATTACATGCTCTCTTAGTCTACATCGTAGATCCGTTTTTGAAATTAACGCTTCTGATATTCTGATCATTGAGATCTGTCAGATCCACTTCCTTTGGCTAATCTAAACCACCCAAACCACTTCTGATCTGACGGCTCACCAATGACCTCGACCTTTGCAATTCTTCTCCACCCTATAAAAGTTGGGCAGGTCCATCTACTTCAGTTTCTTTACCTTCTTTGCATTCCAAAACTCACCTAGCAAGAAAAACTTCGGCAACCTCCAGAATTTTCTGGCGATTTCATCAATTCTCATATCATCTCTCTTTCAACCATCATGTCGAATTTCATTGGTACGTTCTTCTGAACTTTTCACCGTTTTTTCTCATTCTATCCCTTTTAATTTTATTCCAACGACCGCCCCTCTTTTCCCGAGCTCTGTGTTCATAAAATTCCAATGGCCATGTCGACTTCTAACAATACATCATCCTCAACCTCTCAGCCCAAAGGAGAACCTTATTTAACCTTACCCCTTCATCTTTCTCACTCCCAAGCCGACCAGGTCACCGTGGTTGCTCGCATAAAAGCCAAAGCCATGTCCCCTTTGGTGAGAATGGTCAGACCTAACCCAATCACCTCATATTCAAATGATTATATTTCTAACCTTATCCATAAGATCGAGCAGGCCGCCCAGGGCCCATTTACAATATAGGGCCTCAGTTATGTTCATAAACAAATACTATTATAATTTATTAAAAATCACTTCTTATAAGGCCCAACCCAATTGAAAAAATTCATCACCTCATTTCCTAGGCCAAGAATACAATTCCCCTAATGCGCCCTCCTCTATCAATAAGTTGAACTTGAATTGAAATGACAAAAATTAGCTTGTAATTTTCTTGGCCAAGAGTAATATAATGCCCTCCAATTGGCTCCTTCTCTCTCAATAAGTTGAATTGGAAGTTTTATTTCTACTCACTCTTGCATTTTGACAATTTAGACTTCTTTTTTTCCTTCCATTAAATTTATTAATAATAATAATAATAATAATAATAATAATAATAATTGATTATTGAATATAAAATATTATTTTGTTCATTCTGGCCCTGGTTCTCCTTTGGTCATTCTTGATTTTTTATTTTTTTTTATAATTCCATAGCTTAAATTACGAGCATCATTTATAGTTACTTTCAAGAGCACCCGAAATCAAGTTGGGTTTCAATTTCCATTTATACTCCTTTTCAATTGATGCCATATACATATTTTATTATTATTCGTCGTCGTCGTCATTATTAATATTATTTTGTTAATAAGAGATGAATTTGCAATCTTCTAAGATTTTAGGAGATTGAATGTAGATAGTGTGCATTATTTTTATATTTTTGGACTCTAACTTGCTAACTTTGGGGGATTAGATGTAGATGGCTCTTTTACATGTGTAACATACTTTCTGGTTTTTTTGTTGTAAAATTAATATATTCAAATTTAAATCATATATAAACAAATTTTTTAAAAAACAATGATATACATAAAAATATATTAAAAATTAAAATACAAATTAGTCATTTATGTAATGGAAAAATTGATTTACTTACAACTAAAAGGAAAAATTTCATAAATTACTAATGTAAACATTGTATGTGGTGTAATTTTCTCAATGTAAATTAAGGATATTAATTTTATATTTGGTCGAGGGCTCAAAATTATACCAGATCGGCTCTGATTCCTAGTAATATCTATTAATATATAAAGAGGCAATGATATTTACTTGAAATAGCAACTAAAAACTAGCAAAAAACATTTGTTTCCCGCCTAAAGTATTTACTATATTGAGTAATATTTTTGGTCTAAATTTGAAAAATCCCGCCTAAATTAATGTAATTAATGTACAGAATCATTTTGGTCAAACATTTCGGTTATTACCTTTATTAGTTGCATGATTTAAATTTGGAATATAATATATTGACAAAACTTGCAGCTATTACAGAAAATAAAAATATTTTTATTTAAAATAAAATATAATTATTCATAACTTACGGGTCAATATTAACTTGGACGTAAACGAAATATATAGTCATTAAATCAATTTTAACTTGGACGTAAACAAAATAGTCAATTATTTATAGTTTAACAAATTACTCAATAACTTACGTGTCAATATTAAGTTGGACGTAAACGAAATAGTCAATTATTTATAGTTTAACAAATTACTCAACTACTTTTTTTTTAATAGTTTATACAAAAATAAATTATTTTAAGTAATGAAACAAGAAAATTTTATATTTACACTTATTATTCACATAAGTTGTTAAATATATGATAACATTTTATCAAAATAACTATTTTATGGAATCGAATTATAGTCAATTAAATTTCTGAATAAAAATTTTGAAATGATACTTATTTTAAAACATAAAATAAATTATTTTAAGTAATGAAACAATAAAATTTTATATTTACACTTATTATTCACATAAGTTGTTAAATATATGATAACATTTTATCAAAATAACTATTTTATGGAATCGCATTATAGTCAATCAAATTTCTGAAACAAAATTTTGAAATGATACTTATTTTAAAACGCATATAATGTAATTTATTATCAGTTATGTGCACCACACGTGTTGTATACTAATTTTAAGACATTGTTATGTAATTTTGTACAATTTAAACTTTTATATAACATCTTCAATAAATTAATATAGGTAATTGTATTATATATTGATTCTATATTTTTAATTTATAAATATTACTTAATAAAAAATTTTAATTTATAAATATTAATGAATATTTCTTACTCGTGCATTACACGGACTCATACTAGTATATAAATACAAGAAGCGCGACGCGGCTTGCGCGCTTAGAACAAACCAATTACAGTCCTTCCATATGAAAACGACGACGTCATTAATTTGACCCAACGTTCAAAACGTGTCTCAATTGTTTTGAGCAGTCACCTGGAAATATCGATTTTCCATGGTTGGTATTTTTTTAGTCGATTTATTTTAACGCATTGGCGCAATTAACGGCTTTACATAATCAGCTCACACTAATGCAGTTCATCATTTTCTATTATATAGTGTTTCAAATACATATTTTATTTTATTGTGACATATGGGTTTGTTTACTGATTATCGGATATTGTATTATTGTATAACTTTTATTTTATTAGATTATATAGTTTAAATATGTGGTTGTAATAGCAGTTTGCAAGTGGATGTTTGATAAATATTTGTTTTAAGTTGAATAATTGTTTAAATGTTAAAAAGTGTATATATATATATATAAAAAAAATAATAATAAGATTAATTCATTTTTGAAAAGTCATACTCGCAAAAAAATTAATTACCTACTATAGATAGAAATAATATAATATATGTTTAAATAAAAAAATAACTCATTAATGCATAGTTTCCATATAATTAGACTTTCAATTTATGTTTGTTGTAGTCAATTTCCGTTTTCCTTTATTTATGTTGACAGTTGTTTAGTAGGCAAAGATTATTGTAAATAATTAGGCACCTGATTTTTAGGAATTCATATTAATAAAGAATCCTTCCAATCTTAGGTTTCCATGTAAGTTCAAGCGGCACCAGTTCTACTTATAGTTTTGTATGGATGATAAAGAAGAGCCCGTTTTTAGTCATAGTCAATTATATATTGTAGTTTCGTGTGAAATAATGGAAAGAAGTTGAAAATATTAGTTTGTGGGATGACAGTTGCCCAATAATCAAACTAATAATGTTGTGTACAAGAAGGTTTTCAATAATATATTATTTTTTCTTGATGAGCATTTTTATGATTTGACAATTTTTCTACGTATTATCACTATTTTATTTATTAATACACTTCAATGTATAATATTTCACTCCTTTATTTATTAATACACTTCAATTTATAATATACTCTTAAAAATATACAACCCGTGCATCGCATGTGTTACATACTAGTGAGATTATACGAGAATAGTATACAGTGAACGAAATAAGAATAAATATGTACTATTGGATCTGTCAAGACAACGATCATAATCAAATCAAATTTTATTAAATGTCAGTCAACATGTGTGGCAATCTCGTAAATAAGTGGACATAACATGGTCAAATGTATACATTTGACCACTTATTAACGATAAATTAGACATTTCAGACTCACACACCATCCCTGTGGGCCCCACCCCAAAC